TTTAAGTATTTATGAGCTGTTTCCATTGAGGCGGTAAGGAATTTATAATTTTTGTTAGGAGGAGTTGTTTTATACCGATTAGCTGATTTACGAGAAATCCAGGGATAAATACTTTTGCAATATCGCCTATCTTTATTACGTCGTTGTTTTTGGATTCTTGAGTTGGTTTGAGAGTTTTATTTCTGTGGCGTATGTATGGGTTATAAAATATAGGTTGTTTTTCAATTTAAAAAAGTATTTCTTCGATAGTGAGATTTGTGTGATTATTTGTTTTTCTGTATAAGCGACTCCATTTTTTTATTGTTTGGTGATAGTAAAGAGGGGGAGTTTTTAAGGATTCTGTTGAGTATGTGGTGAAAAAGAGAAGGTTTACTTGGTTTGCATCTCTGTAATTGTTGAATCTGTAATAAACTGAGTCTCTCCACGCTCCCTTTTCATTTTCATTTATTTCAATCCTATCTTGTATTTTGACGCACATTTACATTATTTGTTGTTCTACTAAGCTCGACAATCTGAGAGTTTATAACTAAAAGAAATATATTTTTACTTGTGGGTTCATTTTTTTTAAAAAACCAATGATTTTTTTTTTAATTTTACTCGCTACTCAATAAAGTTCGAGTAATTATTGCTCCGAAAGAGCCATTTGGCTCTTTCGGAGCAATAGCGCGAAAAGCCTCCGAAAGAGCCAAATAGCCTCCAAAAGAGCCAAATGGCGACCACTAGCAAGAAACATATGTTGCGTATCTGACAATTTTTACTTTTATCAGAGTTAATCGCAATTATTCCTTTTTTTATATACGTTTTTTTCATTTATAAAGATTTATTTTCAAAGCTAAACTATTATTTAAAGAAACAAAGTTTTTATTAAACTATTATTTAAAGAAACTATTATTTAAAGAAACAAAATTTTATATACATTTTTTTTCACTTTAGTTACAAATTATACTAGAAATCTCCGGTCATATCGTTGCGTGAAATCTAAAAAAAGAGAGAGAAATTGACATTAATAAATAAAATGTGGAAATGTTTTTATCTATTTTTTATTAACTTAATAAAACAACCGCTTGACCATAGAGTAGTCACTTTGAAATTGTTCTTACCTGAATAAGATGCTGTTTTAGACTTTCTTCTTTTATTTTCATTTGCTTAGTATACACAACTTTTTTTTTTACTGGAGTTTTGACTTCTTTGCCAATTCAGTTGCCGAGCATTTGTTCATTCTCTCAACATTTGCTCACTCTTGCAAGAGTGGTCGTTTAGATAAACGTTTATCTAAACGTCGTTTAAACGACGCACGTGGAAAGTTATTATACGCATGTAGAATGTTATGCAAACGCAGTGTCAAATTCAAATATATATATTTTAAAGATGGTGACTTTAGATACCAAAATTTTTTCTGAGTAGCAACAACATTTTTAAAGTTTTAGTAGTTATTATTTCCATATTTTTGATAGAATGAAATAATAATAAAGATAATTGAATATATATATATATATATATATATATTATATATATATATATATATATATATATATATATATATATATATATATATATATATATATATATATATATATATATATATATATATATATATATATATATATATATATATATATATATATATATATATGATACATTCACCATTGGCCATTAATTAGAGCATTCTTACTTATATATCCTGTTTGCTTAAAATTACTTTAAAAACTAGTAAGCTTTTTAAATAATTTATTTCTAATTAATTAGTATCGTGTTTTTTATTTAATGGACAATTTGTTACCATAAAATTTCATTTGTATCCCTAGTTATATGTAACTTTATAACATCGACTATATTTTTTTGAATTTTTTTTTATCTTGAAAAATTAATGCTTACTGCTTTATTTTTAAAATTAATGTAATATATTAATGATTTTTTTTTATAATTTAATTTGATTTTCATTAGCTTTTATTAACTCTAAATTTCTAATTTTTAAATAGTACTGATGAAAACACAAATAAATTAGATATTAAAAAAGTCTCATAACGAGTGAAGTAATACAGCATGAAACTCCAAAATCATGGTTGAGATTCTCTGAAAAAACATGTTACAAATCTATTTTTATTTAAAACCAAGTACTATCTCCTCGTCAAATAGCCAATAAGTTGAATATTGAATATTCACATATTTGAAAACCTTATACTGAAACAGATGACATAGATCTGGATAATCTGGTGGGCAACACAATGAGATAAACGTTTTTAATTAATAAAATTAATTTGCTTGATGAAACACGACAGCAAGTGGTGAAATGTTATATTCTCAGACAAAATAAATGTTGAGGTAAATATGCAAGAATATGTTATTGCTTTGTGTTCTGCTATGGCGATCACCTCAAGAGTAATTTGATTTGAATTGTACATGAAAACCAACCAAACATGGTAATGGCAGTGTAGACTTTTGGGCCTACATGAATTATGCAGGACTTAAATGCTATTAATTATTTGAAGGTTGACTTAATGCTGATAGAAACATTGAAATTTTAAATAATTGCCTTCTTCAATCCTTATCTAAGAAAGGTGGTTCTGCAAAATATTGAAATGCTTTTTTTTATGGTTTTTCTTTTGTAAATTATTGTTTTAATATATTATTTGAAATATATACTTAACTTTATTCCGATTGTTTTTTTAAATTAAAGTAAAATGTTTTATTATTTTATTTTTTTTTTGGTATCTAAATCAATATGTTTAGATCTTTTTTTGGATTTTCATAACGCATATAGATTTTACTTATATTAAAAAAAAAAAAAAAAAAAAAAGCATTTTAGTTTTCGATTTAGTTTATTTTGAATTTAATGTTTTATAAAAAAATTGTGACAAAAACAATGTGTGCTCTAATTTAAGGCCTAATAAATCTTACCTACCCCAAAAAACTAAATTAATGTCATGTCCTGGACATGATGTTAAATTAGCCCATGCTAAGCCTAAATATTTTGAATCAAATCAAAAAAGTGATTCAAGACTTGACTTAAAAAATCTCTATTTATTTGAATCAAATCAACCTGCTTTTATTAATAGTCTTTAATAAAATTAGCTCAAGGTCATATCATTATAAATTTTCACCAACTTGAGTAATACCATTATTAGAATGTTATTACTCTAATAACATGAAGTCGTCTTAGAAATTTCAAAAAATATTTAAAAAATATTTTTTTAACTAAATTTAATTACGGTCATGCTTTGGTCAAATCTAAATGTTTTGCAAAAAATTTTATGAATTGTAAACAAAAATTCCCCTACAAGCTAACTGCCTCTGCCCAAACATGATGACAATGACTTGATAAAATGCTTAGTTTTTCTATCTTATCCTAAATATACCTTCAGCTTTTCAATTTAATTTAATTGTATTATAGTGCCTAAAGGTTATGACCATATAAAATTAACAGCCCCCTTGATTTGATCAAACTTTGCTCATTTAAATACTAAAAAAGTATTATACGGTATTTTATTAATTATTATAGTTATAAATAGTTAGAAAAGGAATAAACTTTTAAAATTCGAGACTCAGTTTACGAATCAAATGTATTAAAATATGAATTGAATTAAAAAAAACAAGAAGTAAATATGTTAAAAATTGTATGTTAGGCCAATTTCCCTTATATATATATATATATATATATATATATATATATATATATATATATATATATATATATATATATATATATATATATATATATATATATATATATATATATATATATATATATATATATATATATATATATATATATATATATATATATATATATATATATATATATATATATATATATATAAAAATATGCAACCTTTACTGCGCTTGCGTATAATAAATTTCCACTTATTCAGTAAGTCTGAACGACCGTGCTTGGTCTTTCTTTTTCTTTTTTACTTCCGCTAGAATAGATACAACTTGATCTGACGTCACAACAGATGCTAATTGAGTGTAATCTTGCTTCAATCAGCATCAAACGAAAAAAAGGTAAGGTTTGGGGGAACGGAGAGGAGAAGGGGATTAGAATGCAGCCGTGGCGCAGTGGTAACGCACTTGCCTCAGAAACGTAAGACCCCTGATTCAAACCCCACCTCTGGGCAAGTTTTACGACATTGGTTGGGAAGGAGGCGTGAACCTCCTATTAAATACTCTTCCGCGGTGTTCTGTGATAAAACCGTAAGGACTTGTTGGGGCACCTTAATCAATTTAAAAAAAAATTATATAGTTTAAAAATTTCAATTAATATGATAGTTACATAATTTTAATAATAATGCTTTTAGGACTTTCTTCTAGTAATTAACCTGACAAAAATGCTGATAAGTTGCCCCTTTTTTTTAAAGTAAAAGATTTTTTCTGTGACCCATATCTGTTTTTCTGTGACCCATATCATATTTTCTGTGACCCATATGATATTTAACTTTATTTCTAAAAAAGCTTTCTTTCTTGAAAACGTTTTTTTTTAGTTAAGCGCATTATTTAATATCTGAGGTTGAATTGACACAAGAGCGAACTGGCATAAGTGCGCCAAAAGAGTTTACAAACATTGGTATAAGTGCGAACTGGCATAAGTACGAAGCAATTACAAAAACTGGCATTAGCGCAAATCAGCATAAGTGCGCCGAATAAAGATGCAAATATTAATATATGTGCAAATTGGTATTTCGCACTTATGCCATTTCGCACTCATGCCAGTTCGCACTAATGTCAATGTTTGCAATTTCTTTTATAGAGTTTATGCCATGCCATTTCGCTCTTACCAAACAAGATTTAAACTTCTTGGGATTAGCAAAAAGTCTGGGTAGTGACATTCTACGGATGTGACTTGTTACATGTGGAACGTTATTTATTAACTGAAAATACTATTTTGGATTGGTTTTGAATATTAAGTTGATTTATAATAATTTTTTTAAACCTAAGCCACAAGTAAGAGAATACAATAAACAATTGCGCTATTTGTGTGCTTCAATACGTTACTGTGAAGCAAAATAAGGGAGTAGCAAGTAGTTCTCTACTTTAACGGAGTAGAGTCTATTCAGGGAGTTGCGCCCCTGCTCCTTAAGCCAGCTATAACGATCAGATAATGAAAGTTTCTTCGGTTACTATGACGTTTTCTTCATTCGATTGGAAGTCAGAGATCGTTAAGTTTTTTACGTGTCTGAATTTATGTCAGTGTGTAGCAAAACGAATCTACTCTCCGAAAAGATCTCAGGTTTACTCCCGGGTAATCTATTTCGCAACAACCTATATGGCGAAATGGGGTCTTAAACATTTTAAATTTAACCCCTCTAAATAGGCATTTGATTTAGCTATGCTTACAACAAATTTTTATCTATTGCCTGTCGCGACTACAGAAATGTGTGAGTATTTTATAATTTACTTTTGTAATATATAACTTTAATTAACGTTGATTAAAATTATTTTATAGAAATAATAACGTACTTATGTTTGTGACAGAAACATAAGTACTTATACATAAGAGACATACACAAATTGTGCATGTATCTCATGAATATGTATACTAATAAAGTAAATATGAAATACTTATCAAATACTATACTAAATTAAATGTTATATTAAGTATATAATTATACTTTAAATATTCAAACAACAAAAAAAGTTACATTTTTTAAAACAACTATAAAAATTCATTTTAACTATTATTTAGTAGTCCAATCGTCTCTTTTTTGATCCTATTAGCAAATATCTACTCTCTACTAATAAATTGAGTTCTAATGTAAGTTTCCCTTCTTTCTGCAGTGTAAACATGCCCTACAGCTTCTGTAACCATCTGTACGCACCTCTCAACAGATTGTGTATGAGAAACTCTGTTAGGGAACAACCATGAGGCTATTAATAAAATCTTTATTAGCAGCAGATGTAAGGTTGCATATCAATGCAATCTTAAATATGCTATCATATTCTATGAGTAATTGCCTAACCGGAGCTAAGAAATTATAATCTTGCTGAATTTTTTAAATTGATTCTTTTATTTCATTTTACATTTCTTTGCTCTCTTTTCTAATTCACAACAATGCTCATCTTTTCTTTTTATAACTTCTTTTATTTTTATTGTCACTTTTATGTCAACACCACCAGTATGGTAATGTGCGAAACTACCAGCTTTATCTCTCTTTGAATTGATAAAGACAAGTTCTAATACAGGAATTTTATTTTCTCACACACAAATGCATTTAACATTCACTTGCTTTTTACAGTCATGGTTGCAACCATACCTTGAGCAAAACATTTAAGCAAAATTAAGTTTCCCTTTTTTTAATATTTTTAAGGCAAATTTTAACTGCAGTTTCCTAAAGATACTTAAGTTTAGCTTTAATGCCTTAATGTTTTAATGGAAGGAATCTCTAGAAAAATCTGCTTCTGAACGCTCTTTGTCTGTTTTTTCAATTTAGAATTAAATGCAATATCCCATCTTATTGATATATTATTATTGTTCATAATTATTAACAAAATGTATTTTTTTTTTGACATTTACTTTAATAACTTCATATTTAACAAAGATATTCTATAAGTAATTGTTTAACATCTACTAAGAAATTATAATCCTGCAGAATTTTACGTTTCTTTTCTCTCCTCTAATTAGCAATGATTCTTCTCTTTTCTTTTTATAACTTCTTTATTTTTTTGTTGACTCTTTTATGTCAATACCACCAATACGGTAATGTGCGAAACTACCAACTTTATCTTGTTGTGATAAAGCTGAGTTCTAATACAGGAATTTTATTTTCTCACACACACATGCATTTAACATGCACTTGCTTTTTACAGCTACCATACTTTGAACAATATATTATTTCACATTTGCAAGATAAAATATCAACGAGTTTGTCAATTTTTGAAATTAACTTTTCCTTTATTGATTTTTTAATATTTTCAAGGATTTTCAACTGCAGTTTTCCAAAGATACTTTAGTTTAGTTTTAATGTCTTGAATTCTTGAATTTGATGTACA